AAAAACTATGGTCTTATAATGATACATAATAATTTAATAATAATGGCAACAAGATAATTTTTGATATATACCTAATGAGTAGAAGAAATCACCTACCCAGTTGCTGAACCATCTTAAGTCCAAGCATTCTATGATACATATATATATATGTATAATCGGATACCTTATAATAAATAAGCTTTTTTAATAAGTAAAAGTTTTAATACACCCTCATAAATTGTATTTATTTATTTATTTACAATGGGCTCGACGGGACGAGCTTGCCCAGAAGGAACCTAATCACTCGTGCCCTTAAATAATTCTGGGTTATATGTACTTCGAAATATAGACGCCGGCAAGGAGCTCCACTCCTTGGCGGTACGCAGTAAAAAAGAGGAAGAAAGGCGGAGAAGGTAAAAACAAACTTTATCCTTAAACACACTATAAATCAGAATGATTGCTAAAAACGGGGTTGTTAAAATATACCGTATTTTTTTGATGGCGCAATGGCAAGGGCGCTCAGTTAAAAAAAAATATTATTTCGAACTCCTGCGTGCTTCGGAAGGGCACGTTAAGCCGTTGGTCCTGGCTGCATCTGCAGTCGTTAATACCCAGCAATCCGCACAAGCCCGCGTGGTGGGTCATGGCCCATTCTCCCTATTCGATTCCATCCGTGATGATGATGACCTTGGTTTTTGTTGAGTTCCCGATATTTGTGCTTGCAACAGCACCGTGATATCGGGAACTAAACAAAACAAGGTACATGGTAGCAATCCCGTTTTTAGCAAACATTCTTATATTAATGAACACGTAAGCTTAGAACAACACACTATAAATGTAAATACACATTCCTGAATCATAGATTTTCTTAAAATAAATACCACATGCTAATGACATCGATTCTTCACCATATTACCGACTAGTTTTGCATACCCGGAATATCTGGAATGTCGGAGTGAATTTAAAAAATAATATATACCAAAATGCCACTTTCATAATTTCCCAGCTGAAAATTTACTAAGTAAATATTCCTTCGATTGTTCAATCATTGCTGAGTACATTAACCCCATCCTGAAGTGGAAATGAAACTACGCTCGTGAAGACACGCGGCGCGGAGCATGGCGGGCTAAACATTACTGACGGACGCTTATAAATAAATATTTAGATTATTTTTTTGCAAAAAATACGAGTAGGTTTTGTAACTACTGGCCCGATCTTAAAAATTCTTTCACCTGCGAGTGGCAAACATGCGAAGTCGCGGGAAAACAGTTAGTATTATAAAAATCTGAAGCGTCAATCGTAATTTTGTTTCAATTTCTACGTTGACTCGAACCTGGAAGCTCAGAGATGGCAACACTTTGAATCAGGCGTGCGAGCCATTCGATCACGGAGATAGTTAATTATGTGACTATTTCATTCGCACGCCAGACGAATTCAAGATGTCGCTATTTATGAGAAAATAAACTTTTGTATATTATCTTGGGTCTGGATGTTGTGATACTTTTGATGTTTCAGATTTAGATAAATACTCTTTTAAATCCTTGCTTTAGCTTCTTAATATGAGAGTTACATGTGGTGACGTTGTTTACTTTTAAATTAAGTGTACACAACGTGCTGTTTTTCCAATTGATTTTAAACTTTAAATTATTGGACGAAGAGATTGAAATCAATTACTTGCGAAACATTTCATGGTGAACATCATATATTGGGTTCTCGATTTACCCGACCATGTATTTTTTTCAGAACAAACATTGTTAGAAAGTTTTTTTTTATCATTTCTCTCATCTTAAGACATTCTATAACAAGAACCAACCAAATTGTTCTTGGAAACTTTCTACGCAATCTCAATAGGGTCCCTAGAGAAGCTTAATACGACTGCTACACGCGAGTATCAAAGTAAAACTTACGTTGCCAGAGACTTAAACTTGATATTGAAGTCACGAAGACCAGGCAAATTCAATGCCAATTACGAGTATATTTATTTTTCTAGATCGCTGCGTCAAAAGGAAGAAAAAGAAACCCTCATAAGATCGTTTCGTTACCCGTCTGTTTGTTTGTTAAGAGTTAAAAACCCTATGAAACGATTTTTTTTTTATATGGGATAGGGGGCAGACGAGCAAATGGATCACCTGATGGTAAGTGATTACCGTCGCCCATGGACACCTGCAACACCAGAGGGGCTACAAGCGCGCTGCCGGCCTTGGAGGGAAGGGTTGAGGGGTAGAGGGAAAGGGTTTGGGCCTCCGGTACCCTCACTCACACGACGAAACACAACGCAAGCGTTGCTTCACGTCGGTTTTCTGTGAGGCCGTGGTATCACTCCGGTCGAGCCGGCCCATTCATGCCGAAGCGTGGCTCTCTCACGGTTTACTTCCAAATTGTCACAATGAATAGATACAGCAGTGTAAGCTGAGTAGTTGACACACGTAGTTTTATATTTTGCATGCTGAATATTTAGCGAAATATGCTGACCAGTGTACCCTATCCTAACATCTATGTAACCATGTTTCTAGCAAAATAAATTGTTATTATTATTATAAAGTGAATTATTGTTTCCTAAATAATTGTACCATCACCAGCTTCTTAATGTCCCCGCTACTGGGGTGCAGGCCTTCCCTATGAATAAAATCGAATCAGATCGAATAGGGAGAATGGGCCATGGCCCACCTCGTGGACTCAGTGCGGATCGGTAGGTATTAACGACTGCATATGCAGCCGGGAACAACGGCTTAACGTGGCTTCCGAAGCACGGAGCAGCTCGAGATGATAAATTTTTGGTCACCCATCCTATAACCGGCCATTTCGAAAGTCGCTTAACGACCGTATCGCAGACCGAGCGCCCTAACCATTACATCATCGAGCTCTCTCGAATAATTTTCATGCGTAAAGAGAGAATGATTTGACTTATTATACAATTTTAGCATCCAACTGCGTATGTATGTATGATGTTGCATATATTTTTTTAATCTTATTACAGGATGCTTTTCAGTTAGTTATTTTTCACGCAGGCGGGTTTTTGTGTTTTTAATTATATATTTTTTAAAGCGGGTGGTTTTCTCTGTGATTGCAGATTTTCGATAGCAAAGTCTTTCGTTACATGCTTTCATAAGTTCTACCTTCCCCGTGATCCGGGATACGGTGTAAAGTTAAAGATAGACTTTTGTGCGGGACCCTCGGTCCGCGAGTCTGACTTTTAGTTAGCCAGGTTATTTGTAAAAGCAGCTCATTGAAGGAAAATCCGATAAGAATATAATTTATCAACAATATTTAGACGGTTACACATAGAAAACATATCTATTCTATACACTTACAGGTAGGTAGGTAGAAGAACATTTATAATGACAACGATATCTAGACCCTGCTCAGTATGAAGGTGATCGTCTTCCTTCTCCTACTTTAATAATAGCATTAACTAGATTCGGTTTACTATCGAAAAGAAACTTTAAATTTAAATACGATCGCTTTGAGCTAGCCGTTGAATGGATTCTTTTAAATTACTAGCGCAAACTCTGCCGAGATTAAATCAATATCAAAATGAAACTGTATTGTTCTAGAACGTTATAAGCCTTATTTTTATTCATAGTTGATAATATGTGAAGTTCTTTAACTAACTTTCCGCTTCTTTTATATACAGTCTTTTATATACATATAATAAAACCCATCTATAAAATAAATCTGCATCAAAATCCGTAGTTTTAAAGATCTAAGCATACAGGGGACAGACGACAGAAAGCGACTTTGTTTTGTACTATGCATTGAAAGTTGCATAGGAACAAAAGAAAAACCTTTGTATTGTCTATCACAAATCACAGGTTATTTTTATACCAAAAACCTTACAGTGCTACTTATAAACAAGGTTTAGCGTTGGATTAAATTTACGCTGAGGCTGCTCTTCGTATTAGTCAAAATTCATATTATTAAACAGAGACTTGACAAAGGTTAACCTAAAACGAGGTTCTACGGGAGTAATATTTGCTCCTAGAGGGAAGTAGATTTGCTTATTCTCTCTGCAATATGAATATGGACTAATTCTAAAATTTCAATTTTAGCGTAAATTTACTCTGACTTTAAAACTTGTTTTTAAGTAGCACCATTAGGGTATTTGAATTATCTGCAAATACTTCTCATCGAACTAAATAACTTCGAGCCGGGAATGCTTATGTTATTAAATTACAGTCATCATGTTACAAACTCCTAGTTTCAATTTGTGAGACCGAATTATCGGAACATCAATCGGAAGGCAAACCTCCACTTTAATTGCTAAAGACTACTTGAGAACTCAAGTACACTTTGACGTAAACTATTCTGAAACTATTTAATTTGGTAGTTACGCAAACAAACACCGCGATCATAGATCTATCAAACGGAATTCATCAGTGACTCACTGCTCTATATAATCTTACTCAAATACAAGACTATATTACAGTTTCAAACCAATTCAACATCCTTAATCATAATCGACCATCTATTTACATAACATACGGCTGTGTGCTTCGTAGAGTATGTTACTGCGCGGGTTTATGGTGCTTAACAGATTTATGAAGGAAAAACCTTTGTTTTTAAGACCCGGAGGCCTTCGCAATCAAATTGACATTTCTGCGGTAATATTTCTATTTCAATAAATGTTCTGTGATTATATTGTAACCTGTCAACGTTTTACTCCGCCTTCAATTGAACTTTTCATAGTAATATAAAATTTAACCAACCAAAAGATACTGTAATTTCCGAGAAATATACCTATAAGATAGAGAATACAACCAATACTCATGCTGTGCCACGTCAACCTATTAATCATCGGCATGGTATTAATATCACGGGACAATACATCCTCCCGTCACGCAGCGAGCGGAACACGTTATCACGCAATAAATAGGGGAGACGACTCGACGCGTCGTCGTTCACAAAATGGCACCCAAACAAAATGGCGGGTCATACTATGACGGGAAGAACGCCTTAAAAGGTGAGCAAGGCATCGAAACAGTCTTAGAAATGATTAAAAGCAAAATTGTATTTCTTATTTTGATTTATTAAATAATACTACAATAGTCAATAAAAAAGTAAAAAACTCTTTGTTAATTAACCAACGCTTGAAATGCTCGAATAAGATTGTGGGCATTTCCTAATTATCTATGCAGTCTTTTATGTCGACCCTGAGGGTGGTGCGTCACCTGTGGCACCACTCTTAACGGATTCCTTGAGTCTCTCGTTTTCAGCCACCAGCGCTTTTACCCTCTGCTCATATTTTTCTCTAAGTTCCTGAAAACGAATATTAAAACCAACTTCATATACAACTTTTTAAAAGTTATGATATAATTTTAAAAGCCATGCAACTCTAGATTATAATTGATTTAGTAAAACAGTATAGATCATAAATTTCATGATAAATTTATTATTTTTTTAAGTGTTCTATTTTTCTTTATTATTATATTTTGTCGCCAGGCTTTCACTGTCTAAATTTAACTTTTAAAAATTCATAGTACTCAATACAATTTTTGTTGTCAACTAATAAATACTCATACGGCCCAATTCAAATCACGCAAACAATCCCTGACATCTTGCGTCAGGTTCTTGAAATTCAATTAAATAACAAAACCATGTTCTTCAGCTGATCAGTTTTGAATTTGTAGTAATCAATCAATAATAATGCCTGGTTCACTATCCGAATCGAATTATTGAATCTAAAAATTTTGAAAGAAGATCTTCAATTTAATACAGCTCAAATAATTTGGCATAAGGATGACCGATTTCTTTACCTTAAATATAGCCAACTGCGTCTCATACTCCTTCTTCAAGTCATCGTTGATATTGGAGCTGGTTTGTGCACGCTGCAGGACCAGTCCGTAGCGCTCCTTCTCAGTTTTGAATCGAGCTTCCATTGCTTGCAGACGTTCCTGCAAATAATGATGATGAAAAAACATTATTCACATCTACCAGCACTCAGAATCATAGTCATATCACACAGCTGACCTAACATATACAAAATGAAGACGACATATGAACAACAGAGTGATCATGTAAACCATCATCATCTGCCCTTTTACGTCCCCACTGCAAGGGCTCAGGCCTTCCTTATGGATGGTTAAGGAGGATGACTGCAAATGCAACCGGACCAAAGGCTAAACACGGCTTCAGAAGAGAGTCTTTCAAAGACGAAATTGTAGAAAGCTCTTCGACTAATACTGTCAGATCAATATTTTAATCCCTTGAAAATATTTGATAATTACAAATCTCTTACCTCCATAGCCTTAACTTCAGAATTCCTGATCTCCAGAAGATCCTTGGTGATCAAATTGATATCTTTCAGAGACTGAACTTGTGTATTCAGAGCTTCTATTTGTAATTCTTGATTCTTTACCATTTTAGTCTTGTCGAAGATCATGCCTTTTGCTTTGCTTAAAAGCTGAAATAATGTGGTAATATTGAAAACAATGTAAATTTACGTTTGCAAATGTTGATGTATGTTTAAAATGAACACATATACAATTCAATGGTGGAAACGTTAATATTTAAAATATAAAATTGCAATATTCTATCCGATCGTTAATGAGAAGTTGCGACATACCTCCTCATGTTGTTGCTTAATTTTTTCAATAATTTCATGGTTCTTCCCACCGGGTTTGGACAAAGCAGCTTGCAGCTCTGTTTCTAAATTCTTCACTCTTGCCTTCAATAAATCTATTTCTTCTTCTCTAACCTGCAATATAACATTATTACTATTATTTGTATTACTTAATATTAAACACGATATTTAAAGGCATATCAATAAGTATTCAAGAGAAAATCGTTGTATAATTCTTGAAAATAAATAAGCTATTTTTAAATATAAACATTATAGTTAAAAATACCTTCAACTGAAGCTTCAATCCATCTTCACCCTGTTCATTCTTGACTTTTTCTAGTTCTTCAATCTTCTTCAAAAGCTCAGATTCTCTTTCTTGCCAGGCCTGTAAATATAATGCTGTTAATTTATCGACTATCTGGTCCATTAAAAAAATATATACTTAAACGAACATATTTATCCATTGAAACTTACTGTTTGTTTAGGTGACGTCGTATTTTCTTTGACACTGTTGGAGTTTTGATCAACAGTTGATGGAACTGGTTTAGCTTCTGGCAATTTATTAACTTCTAGAGGTACATTTTCTGTTGATTCTTCTCTTTTATTCTCTTCTACCACTGGTGCTATTACTTCTTTGGTCTGTTCTACTGTCGCTAGTGCTGCCACTTCTTTACTGTGGTCTACTGGTACTGATGTTTCGTCTTTTTTAATATCTTCTACTAGTGCTGGTGGAGTGACATTTGATTTAGTCTCTTCTGTTACAAGGTTTATCACCTGTGTCAATTGATCAGCTGGGATTACAGTTTGTGTGTCGACCTATTTAAAAATGGACTTATATTTAGAATTATACAAAAAGAAATAGTATTATCTATATCGATTTTAATATCATCAAATAAAAACCATTACATTAATATCAGTAAACAGAATATCGAATACTTTTTCTGAACAAATTATAGATAAGTCGTCATGAAAACTATTCATTCTAGAAAACAAATATATTTGACTTTATTCTCCTTTAAGCAAAAGAAAACATTCAGAAACAAACACGATAACCTATTCAATCGAGCAATGGGCCCGGCCGGGGGCCCCAACCTCAATCGCCGCTCGGATGGAAAGCTAATAAAAGAGACTCATTCAAGTTTCCCATCCAATCGCAACTACTATTTTGTGGAGAACATAAGATTAATGGTACGGCTAAGGCGATATTTGAGTGAACATGATTTTTGGGCACGAAATAAGTCATTTCTGTGAACTCTATGTATAAACACACAGTATTCTGTTTGTTAGTTCATTTTAATTGGACGTATTTCATGAGATAATAGGTAACTGTTGTGTTTAAAAAGAAACTAAATATTGCTAAATTCTAATGCTACAAAGTCGATAATTAAATAATGAAAGTTTTCAAGTTACACTTTAAAAGATTAAAAAAACATTTTTTTGTAAAGTATTTGTTGTATAAATTAGTGTTCAAATTTCTTGGAGCGACCCTTGTTACGAAACATCAATCATCGTGCTGTGACGTCACACCTGTTATAACGACTTTGAGATTATTGTCGCGAAAGCAAATATTATTCTGTAAAGAAAATTAATTATATTTTTCGAATTAAATTTTGTCGGTGGTCGACAAATTGAACATCAAGAATCTATCCAAAAGTTAACTTAAATATATTGTCAAAATTGGAAAGTTTTCGAAAGTAGAATTGAAGAAGCTTTAAAAGGGACTACATACATAGTTCGATGTACATATAACTTCGTCTTTTATACAGTAGTTTCTACAAATTTCAGTTACAGGAATCTTACGAACTTGTTATCAATACTGTTTGCTGTTTCTCAGATTTTTATTAACCGAAATTGGGTTGCATAACCCAATTTTGATGACCATATGATCTATTCTAAAACAAAAATCTTCGGTAATGCTGATGCGATCATGAAATGCTATAGTAATATTCGTAAAGCGTCATTAATAAACAAAATGCAATAACAAAAAGTATAAATAGAACAATCACTTACTACTTTATCTGCTTCTGGGGCCTTAGGGGGGCTAACTGGGGGCGCAGCCGCATCTCCGTCGCCAGACTGCGGAGCTTCACTTGAATCAGCCTGGAAAATGACAAGTACAAATTGCTTAACTGCTGTTATATTTATTAATACTTTAAATTTAAATAAATGAACACCAATCTAATCTTACTACAGAAATAAATAAACCTGACTAATCTTACATACAGAATTAAAATATGCATGTGCGTTTTGATCCCTATTTTACACACTATGTCATTTTAGATGCTTTTTATTTTGATTTAGTATTCGAATAGCTAGACTACGTTTACCGTATAAGATCACTTACAAACTAAATCATATCACATTCATATCAAATGTTTGTCTGTAGCTTCAAAATTTGAATTCTTGTAACACAAATCATAGATTACAAGAATTCAAATAAATATCAACAGACTTCAAAACTCAGTATTTTTAACAAATGAAAAAATGGAGGAGCTACGTTGTCTTACTAAATTATCTTGATGATGTCGTTATTACCCTTAACTAAAAATTGTTTTCTTTTTTTTAGATTAAAACCAACTTTAAAAAACAAAAAGAAATTAAATAAATAGAAGTCGGGCGCCTAAAGCATGGCCATCGTCGATGAAGTTTATTTAATTTTCAAATCCGTTTTAAACAACTACCGAAATCAATTTGAATTTCTAAAAGTGCTAGGCCAATTTACAAAACCGAAATATTGGAAACAAATCAAATTTAATCTATACTTATCAGGTTGGGATTTCTAGTCTTTTCGCATAAAGTTGTAATAAAATCTTTCTGGCCGTTTGTATCTGGCTGGTATGAGTATCTTTTTAAAGTTTCAATTTTAAAGAAGATAACTCCGAATTCAATTAGGAAAATGTGTGATTTTCATTTGTTTTTCTTACTGTCAAAATTAGTGAATCTAATGAATAAATGCGGTACACTTTTAAATTTATTGCAAAAAGGGGAAAAATGCAACTCAAGCCGCGAAAAAAAAATGTTTGTGGACCTAGTGTAATTTCTGAGAGAGTAGCACTGGTTTAAGCGTTTTCAATCCGGAAAAATTTGATGCCAGAAATGTACGTCGCTCCTGTCGCCTTATTGCGGATGAAATGGATCCCATTTTTGAAAAAGTGGAGCAAAATTGGCATATCAGTAGTTACGACATAGCTGAAGAACTAGCGATTGACCACAAAATAGTTTATGCGCATTTGAAAAAAGCTGGGTACACAATAAAGTTGGATATTTAAGTACTTCACGAGCATACTGAAAGAAACCTAATGAACCGTGTACTCATTTGTAATCCTTTATAACGGCGTAATTAAACTGAACCATTTTTGAAGAATCTGATAACTGGTGATGAAAAGTGGATCACGACAAGAACGACCGAAAAAATCGTGGTCAAAGGTCGATCACGTTTTACATACTGTGACGAAACCCGGGTAAACTCTCAACAAGGTGATGCTGTGTGTGTGGTGAAATTAGAAGAGGCATAATTCATTATAAGCTGTTACCGCCAGGCAGGACCATCGAATCTGAACTCAACTGCGAACAACTGATGAGATTAAAGCAAGAAGTTGAGAGAAAGCGGCCAGAATTAATCAATAGAAGGGGTGTGGTTTTTCATCATGATAACGCTAGACATCACACATATTTTGCCACTCAATAAAAATTAGGAGAGTTTGGCGGGGATGTGTTAATGCATCCGCCATATAGTCCTGAACTTGCACCTTCAGATTTCCACCTGTTTCGGTATCTTCAGAATTCTTTAGGCAGTGTCAAGTTAACATCACGCGAGGGCCACCAAAACCACTTGCAGCGGTTTTTTAATTCTGATTAAAAAACCGCCCAAATATTTTTATAGCAATGGGATTATGTCCCTACGTACAAGATGGCAAAAAATTATCCAACATTTATTAAAAATGTTTTAAAATTTCATATAAAATGCAAAGAAACTTTTTCCCCAATCTACCAATATACTAATAGGTATTATAAAAAGGTAGAGTTTCTAAGTTAGTTTGGTTGTTTGTAGGATGTACTCTTTGGAAATACTGACAATATCATATGTCAAATGCGGGTAACATAAGCTATACGAGAACAAATCCGCACGATAACAACCTTTCAATAGAATTCTATGAAAGTTGGGAGAAACCTTTGAAAAAGGTACTTATATATCGTTACTTCTAAACATAAATGTTCCAACAAACAAGATTTACACCGGCTTTTTTATTTATTTATTATTATAATATTTAACATTATATTGAAATGGTGAAAAAACTGCTTACGCATTGGAATGTAATTCATTATTTATTTCTAAGGCACTTTAATAACGTTCACGTGATAGAGGAATTGACGAAGAAAGTTTTGCTTTTACTATTATTTATCCTGGGCTAGCCAAGTTATATAAGTAAATCTGACATGCTAAAAATAGATTGCTAATGTAAATCTACAAAATATTTTTTTTTACACACAGCTTTATATATATATATTCTTAAAAGGTGGGAGTTATGTATATACATTAGCCTTTAGCGGGATCCAAACCAAAGGACATCTGACCCGCTTAAGTAAATATACGTTTTTGGAAAAAATGTAGCGACATGCAAATATTATATCTGCGTCAAAACTGTTTTACGCAAAAATATATTTGATAAATTTTGCATTCACACTGCTATGATGAAAAATATTTTTAATGAAAATTTCTTAAAAAATCCACTTTATCCCTGGCACTGAGATATCACGTATATAGGTTTTCATTTACAATGAATTTACAAAAAATGATTATTTTTTTTTAAAATAGAATCGACTTCAGACTTAGGAACTTATAAGCAACTGCTATTGAAATCGGGCGGAGGTTTTCTGTAGGTTATTAATTAAATAATAGGCAATAGGATAGGAAAATCGGTGGTAATACATAAAGAAAAATACATCGCCTTTGAACATATAACCTCCTCCTTTTCGGTTTTGAAGTTGGTTAAAAATCAAGAAAATCACTCTCTAAGTTTTTAGCACGTTTTATCTTTCATTGTGGTCTAATTCTCTGAAAAAAAAAACACGACAAATTCTATCGGTTCTTTTTTGCATTAGAGGTGCAAACTCTAAAAATGTTTTCTTGGCCGTTTATCTCACAAAAATTTGAGTACATATCAATACATTCAGTTGTGTTAATTAAAATTGAAAATCATAATAATAAATAAGTTATACAATTAATAATACCTCTTTGTAAGATCAACATTTGATTAGGTACAAACTCTTCCAAACTCCAGAAGTAAGTAAACAACTGAACAATGCGCGGAAATAAATATAATTACCTACAGTCAACAGCACACCAGTCTATTTAAAACCTTATTGCGTAAGAAATTAAAGCAAATAATAAATTTCATTTGTCACATTCGAGTTGACTCTACAATTAGAATTATCACTTCGTTGTTGTTGAAAATGGATTATTTTTCGTGAAGAATATTTATGAGTATGGCATTAATGCAAAGTTGATCAGAATTACAAAATTAGAACATATTTTCGTCTTAACGAAAGTTTGAACATTGATAAAAATACAAAATACGCTCTGTAGTAGCGAAAAAGTACACATGTGCTTAAAAAATTCGACAGTCCTATTAGGCCCTGGGTAGCTCAATGGATGGTTCGAGTCCCATCTCATAGTGCCAGGGACAAAGTGGATTTCTAAACATTTTTCGTTAAGAATATTTAACAATTTTATTTCAAGATTACGAGAATATAAACAGATTCCATTCGGAAGAGCAGCAAGTATTTTAATTTCATAACAACACGGTGTTTTAATTTTATTGCACTGTTATGTTCGTCAAATCTTGCAACTGAATTTTAAAGCACAACTATGTAAGTTTTGCCTCAATCGGTTAACCTGAAAGTTTTCGCACATATTTAGTCAAACGACAATGCACAGATAGCTAAGTGATATTATTTTATATCTTCTATGGGGGGCGCCCGAAATACGGCTTAATATCATATCAATCATGAGAGTATACTGAAAAATGGAACATTAAATGATTGGCTAAGAAAATGAAATTACTTTATTTTAAATCTAATATGGCGAACCAACTAAGATGATGGAGTAGATACCTTTCTATACTCTCATAGCACGGATATAGAATGAAACTATTTGCCGAGAAGATTATTGTATAAACCCGATTTCATTGTAATTCCAATATGGCGGACGCAGGCCGGCTTACAAACATGAACTCTTATTTTACCATGAAATAATTACAGCCATATAATTTAAGCGTGCTTATTTCGTCAGAAAAAAATTTATGACCATTGTTCTTAAACCTAAATATGAGTATTTCAATTTTAATTTCTCAATAAGTACCTACTCAAACCTCTTAAAGAGCAAAGTTATAGTTCCCCAACACTAGTATCAATATATTTTATGACCATGATATTTTCTGGGCACTTCAATATCTTGTTTTGATTTAGTGCACGTAAAATCAGTGATTGTACGTACAATTAAATCGCAGTAAATGACTTTAAGAACCTTAGGACACATTAGTATGTTTACTTGAGGAAATGACAAGAGAAAAATGATTTTTCTAACCTCAAACTAATATAGGTGCATACAAAATAAACGAGCTATTTAGGTTACCTACCCAGAAAGTTGTATCGAAGTTTCTTACTCTCGTCCAAATCGATCTAAATGGGAAACTCTCATTGTTGTCTCTTAAATTCGAAAATCTATGGAACACCGCCTCATTTTCATTATAACTTTCCATTTAATTTTAACTTTGAAAAAAATACGAAATTTAACCTCCTTTTGAAGGAAACCCTTGACAAGTAACTTTTTTTACCATAAACTTATTTTAAAGAAATAGTTCCAATACACACCATTGTTATTAAAAACTCCTTGGTCTAAATCGATGCACTGTACACTACAATTAAGCAAGCACTGAAAGAAGGAAACACGCACAAGTCCTGTTCGAAACTCAATCATCTATTTCGGGATTGTAGACGTGGTGTATTAAAAATAGATCCCTTTAGTGCGCATCGAGAATCTCAACTTTTGCCGAGTCATATTGAATCGACATAAGGTACTAATAAATCTTAGTATCTATATTTTTATCCGACTTCAAAATCGAAAAGGAGGTTCTGATTGTTCGACGGCGATGTATCTTTTCTTTTTGTTATTAAGTTACAGAAAACATTATTATCTTAATGTGTTTCGTTGCATTACCTACCATTAATTATATAATTAAGAAAATAAAGACTTACTTCCCATGATCAATAATTTAATTTATTACGAAATTAATTAATAAAAATGTAAAGAAACAACAAAAAATTAAGAGTAGGTACTAGAAAATAGACGTGATTGGAACGAAACCAAAAAATTCTAGAAGATTCTAAAATGTAACTATCTCATGAAATGTAAGTAATCCATACATACTTACATTATAAATGCGAAAGTAATGGTGTCCATGTTTTCACACATAAACTACTGAAATCTGGTACACAGATTGAGGACATACGACATTTTTTATTGCATAAAATAGGCTTAAAGGATTTCCACACGGGCAAAGCCACGGGCGGAAAGCTAGTACTTAAAATAAACAAAATAATTCGTTTGATGGGAGGGGGTAGAATAAAATGAACGCAAAGCAAATTTTGAATCTAAGTAGAGCACTAGTCAGTTGGCTGATCATATCAGCTGATTAATTTAATTTAGTTAAGTAAGGTCGTTTGGTTAATTTCTTTATTAAAGTTAAAGTCGTTGAATTGCAAGGCAAGAACGATCGAGTCGTGCGTGAATTTTTATAAACAATTATTTTATCGGTTCTTGTTACAGTTCTAGACCTACAATCCAAGGTACTTGCAGGTACCAGTGATTATTTTGAAAGGAACATATGGGGTATGTAGTGGGTATGTAATATGGAATATAGTGGAGCAGGTACCTTTTAACTTTTTGATATTTTGCACTGGTTACTATTAGCCAGATAGTTAATGAACTAACTTAAAATTGTGCCCCAAATTCACATTTTCATAGGCGTCGAAACAGGGAGGGAGGGATGTCCAGTCCTTGGGGGCCTCTAAATGGGCCATCCGCCAAAATCATAATAATATAATGAAGTTAAAAATTTATGTAGCTCGGTGGCGTAGTGGATAAGTGCCGCGGCCCACGATCGTTGTCGTTAAGCAACTTTCGCAAGGGTCGGTCATGGGATGGGTGACCAAAAAAATTATTATCTCGAGCTACTCCGTGCTTCGGAAGGCACGTTAAGCCGTTGGTCCCGGCTGCATTTGCAGTCGTTAATACCCTCCGATCCGCATTGGGCCAGTGTGGAGGGTCATGGCCCATCCTCTTTAACCATCCATAAGGAAGGCCTGAGCCCCTGCAGTGGGGACGTAAAAGGGCTGATGATGATGATGATGATGAAAAATGTATGCACCGGGGTGGGGGGAGAAGTTGTCGTTCCCAGCCTATTGCCACCCCAAACCTTCGATGAGAATAGTCCGCCATCGCAAGTATGTAGAAAACAGAAATCAAATTAAGTAGAAATAATAGAATTAGTGAGCAAAACTACAGCATTTTTGGGTCGGGGGTTTCGATCTTCGGTGGATCATGTATTTCTCAGCAATCTTTTTGACTCTAAGAAAACCATTAACCTTATGGTATATGGGAGCAGATTCTAAAGGATTCAATGAAATAGGCTTGTTATTTATTGCAAGGATTATCTTCACCTGTTTTTTCCTTACCTCAGGAAGTCACCACGCTTCATATAGTTATAAATCGAACCGAATGTCTTTGGATAAAGCGAACGCTTTCACGCTTAGTTACTTACTAATATAATTAACACCCAGTGCGCTCAAATTATTAAGAGCATTTTTGAGTGACATAACTTCATTTTCATACGTTGAAGCCATGAAAAAGGAATTGAATGGTGCATTCTTGTGAACCTTCTATTTCAGCGCTATAGAATTCTATGTCTTGTTACGAATGCTAAATTCTAAAGTCTCAGTTTGTATCTACTCCGAGATTGGACTCGAACTCACGAACTTTCGTAATCCGCTATCCACGACCTAACAAGACTGATGAATTTTTACACATATATTTTAATACAACATACTTTACCTGAAGTAAAGTGATTACATTTTGAAATGTTATTGAAATATTGAATTTTTTGAGTAAATTCTTTTATATTCATTAGCGTAATGCGTTCCTCTATTTAAAATAAAGCATTTTAATGTAGACGAAGATCGCTCTCTTCTCTATCGTTACCTCACTGCTGAGGATCGTGACTCCGTGTCATCTCGCCAACCATCCGTCTCCATCGGTTTCGCTCAGCTGTTTGGTGGAGTGCAGCATTGACCGGGATCTCAAGTACCTCCGAGACCTGGTCCGACCAATGTTTAGGACTCCGGCCCCTGGGTCTTTTCCCCTCTATTTTCCCCATAACCATCAAGCGTTCCAGGTTATCGGTATCTCGTCGAGCAACGTGGCCAAAGTATTGTAGTATGCGTCTCAGGCAGGTTGAAGACAGGCGCTGTGCTTTCTCTAGTTAAAGCTTCTCTAAGACAGAGACATTTGTGCGGTGAGCTGTCCATGGTATTTTCAGCATACGACGCCAACACCACATCTCAAACGCGTCGATTCTCCGTCTATCAGCCGCTTTAATAGTCCAGGTCTCGGCACCATACAGAAATATGGAGAAGATGAGTGTGCGGACTAGATGTATTTTTGTTTTGATGCTGATGTTCGTATCTCTCCACACTTTGCCCAATTGTGTCATTGCTGTCTTTTCCATGCCGATTCGTCTTTGCACCTCCGGCTCACAGTTGCCCTTTTTTGTTTTACGGAGCCCAGATACTGGAATTGTTCCACGGTCTCATATCCATGCAGCATGACCTTGGTCTTAGCTTATTTATGACGAGGCCTATTCTTAAGCTTGACGGTTTCTAACTTTTTGAGCAACTCTGCCATTTCTGCTTCGGAAGATGCAAGAAGTGTGGTATCATCCGCAAGGTTGGAGATATTTACTCCACCTATCTTGACTCCACCCCTCCAGCCCTCGAGCGTCTGGCGTATTATAGACTCACCATAAATATTAAACAACAACAGCTAGAAGTAACGCCTCCCGTGGTCACTGTACCAAATCCAGATTCATAGAGGTTGCGAATCAGCATTACAAGGTGAGCGGGGACGCCCATTTCAGTAAGCACGTCCCAAAGCTTATCCCACCTCACACAGTCGAAAGCCTTCTGGTAGTCAACGAAACACATGTATGTAGGTGTGTTGTACTCATGGCATGTCTCTACTCTAATCAGGCGAAGGTTCAGTATCTGCTCTCTGGTACCTCTTCCCTTGACAAATCTTGCTTGTTCCTGTGGAATTTGCCAGTCCAGAAAAAAGCGCAGGCTCGAGTTGATAATGTGAAGTAGGATTTTGCTAGCGTGGGATATAAGAGTTATTGTCCTGTAGTTATCGCATTTAGACTGTAGACGAAGAACGCACATCACTGAAAATCGGTGATCATGAAATTTATGACTGAGTGTCATTGTAAAAATATTAAAAAAAAAAATTACATTACTTTCTTCTTTAATAATATCTATATGAGAAAAAAAATCCCAATTCAAATCAATGAAAGTGGCTCGATTCAACATAAAGCACGTTCAACTCGAAAGAATCATCTCCACATTCTATACATTGATGGACCTGTCACATGTAGTTTTTTAAAGATCGTGTTTGCCCACCTGTCTGTCCACCAGAATAATATCTTAGCAGTTTTTCATTTGGAGGTCAGGAAGATTCATAATTTGTAAAGAATGTTTTGAGGTTATAACAGCTGTTAAAACTTGAGATAATGAGGAAGTATTAAAAGAAATGAAAGCACTAAAAAAGCACCTCCACTAGATGGCGACTCTAGCAAAAGTTGATTTTTGCAGGAAACGAATGGACTAAAGACAGTCATTTCCGTTCCTTTTAACTAACATATTAAAAAACTGAAATTTGAAAAGTTACAAATACGAAAAAGTACAAATAGAATATGAAATGTTTATTGAGTTTTGAAAACTAATTTACTTTTAAACATGAAAGAAAACCGGAAGGGTTGTCATGGAGAAATCAAGAACGTACCGTAGCGACATCTAGTTTGATTTCGGAAACTAATATTATTTTAAATACTTCCTCATTAGAAGGTTACTTTAAAAATAATATGTTAAAAAAATATATATCAAAGACTTTTATAGTTCAACGCGTAAATATTGAATTAAAATTTAATCGTAATTGTGTACTTTTTTACTTTATGACGAAACAATATTTTTCCGTAGCAGATGAAACGGAACGTAGCAAATATCCAAATCGCAAGAAGATAGTTAGCATAGTACTATTTACAAATAATTATTAACCTAGCAACTTTTATCGTGTCTATATTATAGGATTTAACTTCCTGATATGAAATAATTAAAAAATTAGCTACATTTTGAGACATATCACATCACTAGACACGTTAGTAAATTTTTAGGTCAAAATTGTACACAATTTTTTACGCCATTACGTATCGATTCGTACCCTGTGAATTTAAATGAGGGAGTATTTAAAAAATAAAGATTGGTTCTTGAAATCAATTTTTTTTTTTTATATTGTTAATAATATTTTTTGTTTATATTCTTTTCGTGTTTCTTATAATAAATATATAACTTTCAAATTACCTAATGTTTATTTATTTGAATCGTAAATAATCGTAATACGAATGTAAATATCGAATTATACAAATTTGCCTAAGCAGATTAGTATAATTCCAAATAAATATATACGCAAACGCCTAACCTAAGGCGCCGCATAGCGAATATCATAACTTTAGTTAGACTCGAGTGATATTTTTTTCACTCGAGTACGAATTTGAATAATTCATTTGTGTGACTCGAATAACAATAGGACTCGAGTCGTGTCACTAATTTCAATACTAACTAAACATCTCCATACTACTAATCCTTAATCTGTGAACATCTCTAAGACGATTTTTATGTGTAGAGTTTTTTGGGTGAAAAAAAAGAGATTTATATTTAACTAATTAAGTCGAAAGAGTACATATATTGAACTGTATGATTGTTTGCAAAGAAAGAAGTACAATACAAAAATAATCTATAAAATAACTGCAGTAATTAAAAAACCGTGCAATGTCAAAAAGCCGTTAATATCTCAGACCATTGAATTACCAGTAACGACAGAACTGTGTTAAACAAATAATAATGACTTCTGAGAAAAATGCCCAAATTGGGCAGGCACGAGAAGCATTCCAGATGATGTACCAAATTTCACAACTGCTTTGCACTGGCTTGGATACAGAGACGTTGACTATTTGTATACGGCTGTGCGAGCTTGGTGTCGACCCAGAAGTCTTAGCGCACGTCATAAAGGAAATCAGAAAAATTGGAGATAATGCCACACAGAGTCGTCCTGCTAATCTACAGCCATGAATGTTAAAGCAACAACAGTATTATTATTAACTAAAATATTTTAAAATACAATCAAGTGTTTTATGATTGCCATTTCATGTAGACTGTCATTTCAATTAATCAACAGAATAGTACTTATTCTTTGGCACCATTCTCTAAATTAAAAGTTTAGATTTGATTTCATATTATTTGGGAGTCTACATTGTAATCAAAGAAATTTTCTGTGCATTAGTGAATCAATTGTTTCCCAGTTTCATTTGCATCATATGTATTTTGAAAACCTCTGCTGGTGATTTAGCTAGACTTTCCAAAGTATGATATTGGACTAGTACATTCCATATTTACTTCCAGATGTCAAAAATAATGAACAAATGTACCAACATGCACAATGCTTCTGAAAATTTTTATCCTTGCTTCTATTTGCATGTACTCTATGGTAACTCACCGGGTTAATAAATTTAACTTTGCTATTTATAGTACAAGGTAGCATAAAACAAACTACAATGATAAAACATGTATATAAATATTTCAGAATAAAGTTTCACAAATAAAATGTCTGTTGAAAGAAAATTACTTTATTTAAATAAGGTCAGTTTTCACATGCTTCTATTGAATATTATGTTCATTTTTTTAATGCCATCAGAAAGTTAATCTGTAAGAAGACGGAGTAATAAACTTCTTCAGATCAAGACTCTCTTTCAAGCTACATTTAGAACACATATCACTCCAACTTCATGGAAACAAATAATTAAGTGAAGTGACTCATTCACACAATATTCAATAAAAGTACAATTATAATTTGTATTTAATTAAAACAAAAAAGTTTTGAAACTTTAGATGAAAAAAAAATTTCAGAGTGAAATTACTGGCTATCAGTATGGAACTGAAAATATCACAGATGCAAATAATCCACTCAATCCCAAATCAGAATGGGTTAACTATATGTCTCACGAAACTGAGACACAACTTTTAGTTATAATACAGTCTTAAGTACTTAAAAATGTATTTGTTACGATGACAAGTAACAATGCAGTTAAATTAAATATGAAAGTGAACATTGCAAAAGTACACAGATAGGACAGACATATTTGTAGAAATATTATTAAGGTCATGATACAACAAATGTTATAGTTAATTATGATTTACTGATGAATTATTTTTTCAATCGATGGTTATTTTAACCTTTGAGCAATATGACTTAAGACTGTAATCTAATCCTAACATTAACTATTGAAATGATTGGCTTTGTCCCTGGCTCTGTCCTAAAACTGATGGGTCCTCGAATATTGGCTGCTGTGGATGGAACTGCTCTGCTGTGAGTCTAGTGAACATAATACCAATGCCTTCAATCAAAGCAAGAAGTATCCCTCCTACTAGGGCACTCCCTGCCATTGCTGGTACACCTAAAACAAAAATTTCAAACTATTTGCCTAATGCTATTTTACTATGAATAATTGTCGTAAATAACAAAATATTGTATTTATCCTTTATGCTGAACAGACCTGCATGTATGTGAATAAATATGAGCAACAAACAACTCACAATTTATATGACATTCATCTGTTTCCTAATTTGATCAATCATCATTTTTTTAACAAGATGAACGTATTCTAAATTTATATGGCATATGTCTAAAAATATTTTAAATATGGAATAACAACAAAAGAGGATACAACACCCACCATTTCTAGCAGCAAGGATACCTCCAGTAAGAGCACCACTCATAATAGAATTCCATGGATCTTCCTTCTGTCTCAGGTATACTAAAGAGCAGTCAATAGTGGAGAACATGCCTCCCCAAACAGCAAAATTTCCTGCTACAATTGGGGATCTCTCTTTTATAGCTGCTAAACTGCCAAGCTAAAAAAAGATGTGTCAAAAACAATCACAAACTTTGGCACTAATAAAAAACTGCATATACGTATCTATGAAGTGTATATGTTCCTCACCATTTTCCTATTAAATCCTATAGGAGCGTTTCTAAAACCTTTAATAGAATGAAAGATGCCTCCTCCGATAGCCCCCATTATAAAAGCACCACCAGAATCGTCTAAAATTCTCCAAGGACAAGGTTCCCTCGTGTATTCATCCATGATATTGATTCACTAACTCTGCAATGTGAGTAGCAAGTTAGGTAAGATAACCTCAAATATTCAGTCAAAATTGTTGCCAAGGCGAACGCTGTACTAACTTATTATTTATGAAGGAAAAATTTTCTTTTTCTACGAACTTTGGTATGGAATTGATGGTTCGTTTCGTTTTTGAATATAATGTGACTATTGCACTGTGATCATTTCGCTCGACATTTTTTTCCTTGACAAACACAGATCACTATAAACTTTGACTTTGACTAATAAAGAACAGACCAAAGATTGCAATTGAACTGAGATTGGGCAAAAACTATCAAAATGTGGATATTTTTTCTGAAAAAAATCAATTTAATTGAGCGATATTTTTTTCCCGCGATATATCGGCTTTTCAATATTTATTTTCAGGTATCAAATTCGTATCATACTCGATATATTTTTTAAGTTCTGCTGTCTGCTCATACGTCGTATCATGTATTTCTTAAATTTAAAAAGAGTAGGTAGAGTTTGGCAAGCGAAACGTGACACCACCTATTTTTCCGTTTTCATATGGCAACAACATAGAACTGTCAGTTTGACACTACGTTAGACAATTCAAGAATATTGAATTTTGTTGTTTTTGCGAATTTGAACTTGTGTTTTTGGTTAAAAATTATGTCGAAGCCGATAAAAAGTTCATCGAGGAAACTTCTTTCCATCATGATTGACAAGTTTACTGAAGTGAAAACTGAATTAAATAAAAATTTCATGGTGAAATTACAACGATTAGATAAAGTTGTATCTTTTTTAGGTTAGTTTTGTATTATAATTTTGATACTTTCGTTTTAATTTTCTGTAATTAACTAAACAGATATTTTTTATAAAATATTGCTCTATTTCAGATAACTGTGATGGTGATATTCAACCAATAATGGAGGAGATAAATGCAATAAAAACTTTAGAAAAACAAGAAATGCTGAATTCGGAAACGCAGTACTTACAAAAAATTTCTTCAATGACAGGTCTCTTTTCTTGTTTTGATTTAAGATAGATTGATAGTATTCCTATAATATTTACATAGGTTTTTTATGATGTATTGGTTTTTATTGTTGACATCCAATGATGTCATAAGAATGTTTTGTTTAACAAGGAAATTCACAGAATTCATGAAACTAATCAAACCATGTAATTGTTATACATGCTAAATATGCACATAAACTTAACTAAATTAAACATAAATTGCATTCATAGTTGAATAGGTATTTAAATTATTTTGATGTATGTGTCTATCATTATTTGCTTTTAAATACATTTAACATATCTTTGTTTCAAAGTGTTTAATCTTTTATAGATGTAAGTATAAGGACACTAAGAAGGATAAAAAATGAAGCATTAATTAATAAAGGAAAATGGGACACTCTTGGGAAAAAACGACCTCATCAACCAACAGTGTCTGCTTTAGATAATTTTGATTTAAGTGCAATTCGGAATAAAGTAAATGAATTTTACTGTGTGAAAAAAATTGTTCCAACATTAAGAAGCCTTCACAATGAATTAAAAGATGCAATAGGATTCAGTGGTAGCCGTGAGACTTTACGAAAAATTATGCTTAAGAATGGATTTTCTTTTAAAAGCAATGAAAATGAACGTTCTATGCTTATAGAAAAATACCAGATTTCTGCATGGAGGCACAAGTATTTGAGAGAAATAAATATAAAACGAAACGAAGGAAAGCAAATTGTGTACCTTGATGAAACTTATGTACATCAGAATTATAAAGTTAAAAAGTCTTGGCAAGGACCTTCAACAACTGGTGTCACTACAAAGATATCCTCTGGAAAACGGCATATTGTTGTGCATGCTGGATCTGAGGAAGGTTTTGTGCCTGGTGCATTATTAGTGTTCAGTAGTAAATCCAAATCTGCTGATTATCATGATGATATGAACTCATCGAACTTTATGAAATGGGTCAGAGAAAAATTAATACCAAATTTAAGTAAGCCCAGTGTAATTGTTATGGATAATGCCAGCTACCATATAAAACAAATCAATAAACCGCCTATAATGTCTAATACCAAAGCAGATATCCGTAAATGGCTTGTAAATAATGGAATACATTTTGAGGAATATCAGACAAAGGCAGAGTTAATGTGTTTGGTTAATGATAAGAAAACATTGCCTGTATATGAAGCTGAAGAGATTTTAAAAGAACATAATCATGAACTTTTATTGCTGCCACCGTATCATTGTGACTTAAACCCAATAGAGATGGTTTGGAGTCAAGCAAAAAGAAAAATTGCAAGCAGAAACATTGGAATACCAGGAAAGGAAATGGAAAACTTAATAATAGAGTGTTTTAACTTAATTACCCCTAGTGACTGGAAGAAATACACTGATCATGTTTTAAATGTCGAAAATGATTACAAATTAAAAGATGGCATTGTTGAAAACGAACTTGAAAAATTTATTATATCTGTTGGTGCAGACAGTAGTGAAGAGAGTGACTCTGATGATTCCTTGTCATTGTTATCAGGTGTAGAATATTTAGAAACAGATTTTGACTATGAATCAGACTAAAGTATTTTTAGTCTGATTCATAGTCAAAATCTTATCTTAAATTTTCTATTGTGATTAACATGATGATTTTGTGACACCTGTATTATGTAATTTATCCATGGCACTTAATTGTAACAAAAATAAATGTTTTTTTTATTGTAATCTGGTGTTTATATTGACTAATTTAATTTGATAGATAGTGGTTCTGGATCAGAGCAAAAGGTTGTGATGAAAATCCCTTAGGAGACATGTATGTGTTATGAACACATTATAAATATAAGGGCCAGAAATCAAAATTGGCTAACATCACATTTATTAAAAAAATGTGGCCAGAGTCGCCCATATTCATTACAAAAAAACAAAGAAGTCGTTGCAAAAAACACCCTTTTAATTAATGACAAATATGAATTTTTAATATTATAAGTGCTGTTAACCAATAGGTATAACGAATGGGTTAAAAAAAAGATTCGATTTAGTCCGTCAGTCAGATAATAGAAAAATATTGGATACGTATTTTTTTTCGCTTTAATTTAACAACAAATGGCTTAAGAGGTACTATGCGACGACTTCAAATATGCTTTGCAACAATGTTACTTTAATACAGTTTATCGATACGAAATCAAGTGTCAAAATGGAGTCCAGTGGAGAATGCCGATATTGACATTTCGAAATTGCTCATCATTGATAGAGAATACGAAATAGTGATTTTGACACAATCAAAGTGTCTATTTTTTACGGTGATGACGATTCTTGGTTGTCAGTTGAGTTAGTGAATAGGCCTACTGATATGCTGTTAACTGTACAATTAAGAACAGTCACGCTTTAGTCAAATGTTCCAAAACAAATAATTTTAATTGATATCTAAATGTTAAGATTAAATATAATTAATAAAAGTATCAAAATTATTTTGCAGTACTACATTCAGTGTTTACTGCTTAAGAATTTTTGAAATTGCCGCCCTTTTCTTGTGACACGTTTCGCTTGCCAGACTCTAGGCAGTAGGCTGTATGAGCTTAAGAAATTACAGTCTATGACCAGCTTGTCTTTTTAGTTTCTTTATGACAATGATACTGCTTGTTGGTTTGGTTGGTGAGACTGAGAGTGCTCCTGATTTTAATATCAGACATATACTGATTTGTTTGAATAATGTTATTTTTGTTGTGTTGATGATGTTTTTTTCTCTGGTTTTATGTACCTATTTTAAATAACAAAACAGCCAGGTGTTTATTTGCTTTAAAACTTCCAATATTTTTATAGATAATCTCTTATTACGCAGAAAATATCAATATATCGATATATTTTTGACAATATTTATCGACGCATTTGAAAAATATCAATACGATACATATCGATATTTTTTCCCCATTCGCCCTTCCCAGGCCCAGTGAACAGACCGAAATTTTTTGTTTTTTAAAAGGTTTTACCGGCCCTGGCTTCCATGGCCTTCAGCTGTAGAGTTTAATACTCTTTGACAACCACAGAGCCATTAACTACTTTGCAGACTGTTGATCGAAGCACGGAACATGTGACTTATTTTAATACACAAGACCCCTGAAGACAAGACCGAGTATTCGCAGCGCAGCTGAAAATCATGTTGAGTGAATGACTGTTTCTTCGGAAATTCAACTTACGTTTTAATTTAACCGTCATTATTTTTCTTCAAAAATAATGAATCTTGACAAATATTTTTTTTAAATCTATATAGAATCCATTATCGTAACAGACAGAGAAGAAGGAGAAGCAGGTCCTGGCAGAAAAGGTGATGCATATAGTCATTCAAAATTTTGTTGGCAGTGACCTTTGTAGATACTCTAACTACATAAAATTGGTAATAGAGGTTTGCAATGCTTCGTCATACGACAAGGACGCCACGCCTTTGAGACCTTTTTATGAGACAGACTTTAGACACCTTAAAACAAAACAAAAAGTTATATGCATGTTTTTTATTTTTCCTCGGTGAGTGACCGACCAAGTACTGATACAAATACTTACTTTACGATACTACTCGTTACTCGGTGCTAAAGTATCTATACCAAAATACTTGGTATCGAGTAAATACAAGTAACCTTTTACCCACAGAGTAATGTATCTCTTATTGCCAAAGAGTAGTATAATATATAGCTTATTGCTCTTTGGTAATATAAAATGATTCATCTCTCTGTGCTTTCAACTAAAATAATCGTTTCAGATTTTGCGAAATAAAATACGAATTTATTATAATTCACAATAAAATGACGATATATAATATGTACATATTTGATCGTTATGGTACTCTTCTATATTACGGAGAATGGAATAGAACTAAACAAGCTGGAATGTCCAGGGAAGAGGTATAGAATAATGGGCATGATAAGACCATCATTTATATTTATTTTGTTACCCAATTCTCTAAGTGCCTGTATATATCTCTGAGTGCCTGTTTCAATGAGTTCCTTACGAGTTATGGTTGATCACGGTCACGTGAACATCACACACCCTAACTAAGGCTAACACCCAAATATTTTGTTTTATATAGATCAAAAATATACCACCACCACTATGACACGAAATAATTTAGAATCTATTTCTCATTTAATCTTGTTAAACAAATTGAGTATTATATATTTCTCTGAACAATCATTTAAGTTTCACCTATTTTATCTGTAAAATAATAATAGTCTCTTCAATTATGCATTGTAACTATGCTAACTTTCTAAAAATATTGAATTCAATAATTGTTTTAATGCTTACAGGAAGGTAAATTAATGTATGGTATGCTGTTTTCTATAAAGTCATTTGTTGCAAAAATATCACCATTAGACCCAAAGGATGGGTTCCTCCACTACAAGACTTCTAAGTATACATTACACTGTTTAGAGACTCCTTCAGGGTTAAAGTTTGTCATGAACACTGATAACCAAGCGCAGGGAGTTCGGGACTTATTAAAGAAGATTTATTCTGAAATTTATGTGAAATATGCTATCAGGAATCCTTTGTGTGGTATCGGAGAACCTATCAACAGTGAATTGTTCAAAAGTAAATTAGACAGTTTTATTAAACAAGCACCAATTCATGCAGTGAGAGCATCCTGATAATTATATTTCAAATAAGGTTGAATGTAAATATCATTTCTGTTTTGAATGAAACACTGAACATTTGTCTGTTGAAGCTAAAGGGATTGATGTTAAAGGGAGTTGTTCCAGCAAAAACTACTGTAAAACTTTTAACAACTGAAATATTGGCAATTTTACTTTAGTGAAGACCCTTATGCTTAAGATGAGCTTTATGCTTGCTTTACATCTACATTTCATATTTGTATTCTCTCTGTTATTACATAATTTGTAAATAATCATAACTCTATGTTATTGTTTATTAAATAGTGAGGAATCAGATACAATTATTTCAAAATCATTTTTTTTTAATCCTATATTCATAAGCGTTCCCTTAATGTAAAGGTTCTGAATTTTAATTATCTATGATATTTATCATAACATTTTTGATAATGAAGTGGAAATATATTTAGTTCCATTTCATTATCATCTTATAGTGATAAAAGTAAACTCAAACCTTAGGGGAATATTGAATAAGTGTTGTTCTTTTTGGAATGTTATGAATGCATAGAGTATCGAAAATTAATAAATATGACATCGTTTCGTGTTTCTTATAATATCTAACTTTCCTTTATTTGAATCTTAAATTTTAGTTATTTATTATGTTACATGGTAAAGGAACGATGTTTGGTTTTTATATAATATAGAATTGAAACACACATTAAACAATAACTTTATATTGAGCTCAGTAGCTGATACAGAGTGAATTTATGTCGCCTAGTGATCTAACTACTCACTTACATTAATTTATCATCATACAAAGCAATGAAGTGAAGTAAATAACTATAACTATACCTACCTAGTAACACATCATAACACTATATATCAACATTAGTGATGGGCCAACTTATTGGTTGCTCGTAACTTCAATTGACTCGATTCTAAGCGGAGCGCTGAATTCAGTTTGTTTTCTTTTATGTTCCATATGTATTACACATCCACACGGCGAATCATATAAATATCAAAATCAATTCAGTCTAGGTTGTTACATAGTACTTGTGAAAGTCGAAAACTTTGCCAACGGTTTGCAAAACTAAAGCTTCTTGTACTGAGAAGAACCGGCAAGAACCTTTTTATTTCACACAGAGAAGTCTTATTAGAATGTGACTTAATTAGACTATGAAGTCACTTTCCATTACAATATCAGAAATCCTACATACTCATTGAATAAATCAACCAAGTCAAATCAATATACAATATTCATAATAAATGAAAAAGGGGAAAATTAAGTAGTCCAGAGCAGAATCGCCCCCATTGGCCCCCGTTGACGAGCTTGACACATGAGTCAGCCCCAAAGATTACAATATTATACTGGTAATAGATAGCAAACTCAAACTTTAAATAGGTCACGATTACAGCGTCATCTATCCGCCAGCTAAAAAAAGTCACGCGTATGTGTGCGTGTATATGTGTGTAGCTAGCTACAGCCAGGTTTATTTGATCAGTGTTTTTTTTTTATAAGATAAATAGGTATATTTTTTCTTTTATATAGATTGATTCTAAAAATGTTTAATAGTTATTATTCATTTTGAGAATCAATACATATATAAAAAAAGCAAATGTACCTGTTCTGTGTGTTAATATATAAATGTCTATGGTATCATACTAATCCTTTGTTTATGGCACTACTGGTATTCGTGATTTGGAATAATGTAGTGTAATTCTTTAAAAATGTTAAATAAAGTTGATTAATAAAATAAAGTTATTTCAAACTTATCATTATTATTTTATTAAGAAGATGGTGTCAGAATTCTCATTAAATAAAGAGAATTTATAGAAGATAAGTTTTATCTTAAACAAAAGTGAAAATTATCAAACAATATGGCTTCTTCAGAATTAGCGCACGTACTGGAAAAACAGTGTGAAATTCTCCAAAGTATTCAAAAACAAATAGAACTGCAAGGATCGTCAAATGGAAACCGAATACATGTTCCGTGGCCTGCGCCATTGGACGTGGAATCTACAAATCCTGGGGACGCCCTAGAGTTTTTTAAAACCACGTGGTATAATTATGTCGTTGCTACAGGGTTAAAGGAAGATCAAAGACCGACACTTTTAATAAATGCCATAGGACATGCAGCTATGAAAAAGTATATGCATTTTGGTTTGGAAGAAAAAGATATGAAAAGTGAGGCTAAGATATTTTTAAAATTAGAAAAATGTCTTGTGAAAAACCAAAATGTTATCTACAATAGGTACCTTTTCAATAAAAGAAATCAACAAGAAGGTGAAGACATTGATTCGTATATAAGAGAACTAAGAAAATTAATTAAATCGTGTAACTACAACACTACTATAATAGATGAAATGTTGAGAGACAGAATTGTAGTAGGAATAAGAAATGCAGATACAAAAAAGGAACTCCTGAGAGTCGAGGGACTGGATCTAGTAAGGACTATTAATATATGTAGATCTGCTGAAACAACAACTGAACAGTTGCAATCTATCAATAGAGTTACAACAGAAGAAAAAAACATTCTAAAAATTGACAAGAAACAAATAAAAACTTGTAAGTTTTGTGGAGAAAAACATATATTCAATAAGAAACTTTGTCCAGCTTGGGGACAGAGGTGTGAAAGTTGTCATGGCAGAAATCACTTTAAAAAGGTATGTAAGAAAACGAAAGTCATAAAAGAAATACAAGAAAACAAATATGACACAGAGGAAGAAACAGCAAATATAAGTGACAACAGTATATATATATCTAAAATTAAAACAAATCAACATTCTGGACATAAAGAGGTTGAACTCAAGTTAAAAATTGGCAATAGATGGCTCGATGCTTTCTGCACATTAGATACAGGAGCTCAGGTGTGTGTTATTGGTGTTGAACAATATAAGAAGATGCTCAATGATGATTGTCTGAAACATCTGCAACCTACAGATTTAAAGCTAAAGTGTTTTAATGGTACAGACATAGAGACATTAGGAGTGGTTGATATTGAATGTATGTATAAGAATAAAAAATATCAGATAATGTTTCATGTTGTAAATGTTAGTCATCAACCTTTGTTATCTGAATCTGCATGTGTATCTCTTGGGCTGATAAACTACTGTAACACTGTGATGATAGGTATGGATGATTACAAAGACACACAGGATATAGTTGCAAAATACTATGATGTTTTCCAAGGATATGGTGAGCTTCCAGGTGTAGTTGAATTGGAAATAGATGAATCCGTCCCACCCCGCATTCAACCAGCAAGACGAGTTCCTATGGCACTGCGAGAACCTCTTAAAGAAGAACTTGATAGGTTAGTAAAAAATAAAATTATTGTTAAGGAAGAATCACATACAGATTGGGTTAATAATATTCTGTTGGTTCGTAAAGGTAAAAAATTCCGAATATGTCTAGACCCTATACCATTGAATAAGGCATTGAAAAGACCTCATTTTCAGTTTACAACTTTAGAGGAAGTCTTGCCAGAATTAGGAAAAGCTAAAGTTTTTAGTACTGTGGATGCATTAAAGGGTTTTTGGCATGTTAAACTTAGTGACAAAAGCAGTAAACTCACAACATTCTGGACGCCCTTTGGTAGATATAGATGGCTTAGGCTTCCATTTGGTATCTCTTCAGCGCCAGAAATTTTTCAACAAAAATTATTAACGGTCTTGCATGGTCTAAAGGGTATTGAGGTTATGGCAGATGATATTTTGGTGTATGGGTCAGGCAACACTACAGAAGAAGCAATCAGAAATCATAATATTAATTTGGAAAATCTTTTACTGAGACTACGAGAAAACAATTGTAAACTTAATAAAGATAAATTAAATTTATTACAGAAATCTGTGAAGTTTTATGGCCATGTATTGACTGATACTGGTCTTAAAGTGGATGAAGAAAAAGTTACAGCCATCAAGAATATAGCTATACCTAAATGCTGTAAAGACGTCTCAAGGCTTCTGGGGATGGTAACATACTTGAGCAAATTTATTAAGAATTTAAGTTTTAAAGTAAGCTCGTTAAGAGAGTTAACAAAAAAAAATGCTAAGTGGCAATGGACAGAAAAAGAACAGGCTGAATTTGAACAAATTATTTTAACACTTAGTAGTTTGCCAACCCTTAGATATTATGATATGAATAAGCCATTAATAATAGAATGTGATGCAAGCAGTATAGGCTTAGGAGCAGCACTCTATCAGGACAAGGAGGTTGTAGCATTTGCTTCTAGGACCTTAACTAAGACAGAAAAAAGGTATGCCCAAATTGAAAAAGAAATGCTAGCTGTGGTCTTTGCTTGTTCTAGATTTAGTCAGTATGTAACTGCAAATACTAACACTATTATAAAAACTGATCATAAGCCATTGGTGAATATTTTTAAAAAACCTCTAATTGAGGCTCCAAAGAGACTTCAGCTTATGTTAATGATTCTTCAAAGATATGATCTAAAAATAGAGTATATAAGTGGAAAAAATAATTTTGTTGCTGATGCTCTTTCTAGAGCTCCAACTGAAATGAATGAAATAAACTGTAATGGTTTTGACAGTTTTTATAATAAACAGATTTTTAACATTATAGCCAAACATTCTTCTTTGAAATACCTAAAAATATCAAGTAATATAATGAAAAATATTAAAGAAAAAACAGAAGCTGATTCAGAATGTCAACAGCTTGTAAACTATATTATAAATGGATTCCCCAATTATGTCTCTGATATGCCTGAGAATCTCAGATGGTTTTATAAGTTTGCATCTGACCTGTCAGTTCAAAATAACATAATTTTTAGAAATGATCAAGTTCTTATTCCTAAATGCTTGAGAAAAGACATGTTGTCAAAGGTTCATTTAAGTCATAATGGCATTACTAGTACCATTAAATTAGCAAAACAAAATATCTTCTGGCCTGGCATGTCCGAAGACATAAAAAATTTCGTTGAAAGATGTAGAATTTGTATAAAATACTCACCATCTCAAATAAGGTTTCCCATGTTATCGCATGATATACCATCATATCCTTTTCAGTATGTATCTATGGATGTTTT